TTTTTTTGAGACAGGGTCTCATTATGTAGTTGAGACTGACGTGGAACTTATTATGTAGCCCAGGTTGGTCTGGAACTAACAGCAATCCTCCTGCCTCAGCCTCCTGAGTGCTGGGATTACAAGCGTGTGCCACCACGCCTGGCTTTCCCAGGTATTTTAAAATGAATTTTAAGCCAATATAAATGTATCTTTTCTCTCTTAGTTCTGATGTGGTTTTTAGTACAGCTACGTAATATCATTCTTTTTTTTGTTGTTCCTTTTGAAATTTTATTTATTTGTTTGTCTGTTTGTTTGTTTTGTTTTTGTTTTTTGATACTGGGAATCAAACTCAGGACCTTGTGCCCGTGAGGCAGGTGCATCACCACTGAGCTAAATCCCTGGCCCTGTTTTGTTCCTTTTTTTTCTAAGACAGGGTCTGCTTGTGTTAATTCAGGCTGGCCTTGAACTCACTATGTAGCCTAGCCTGGCCTCACAGGGATCCTCCTCCCGCAAACTCTGAGTCATTGGATTACAGGTGTGCACTACCACATCCTAGCTCATAGTAGCATTCTGTCTGTTGCCCTTTTTTTTTCCTTCACTTGACAATGTATCTTGGAGAGCTTTTCAAGTCAGTGCATATATAAAAGCTTTCTGCAACCTTCTGTGAAGTTAAAAAAAAAAATGTTCAGACCTTGCACCATCGCATCGCCCTAAATCAGATCTGCGGACACTGAGGCTTTGGAATCTTTATTTTTAACACATTCGTAGTTAATTCTAGTGTATGTTTGAGCAGGAACCCACATTTGAGAACCATTATTCTGAAGTATACATAGTTAACATTGTTTAGCCTAAGAGAAAGTTTTCCTTTAGTTTATAGGCAATACTTTAGGTGTTTTCTATTTTAATGGAGTTGAAAGTATTTTGTAAAAAAATCAGTTTTTTTCTCTACCTTTCCAAAAAATAATACTGTGTGTGAGAGATGTCCTCTTAATTTGCACGGTAGGAATATTTTGACATAGATGGAATCCATGTAATTCAGTCTGAAATCTGCAAAATGTCCTTATAAATCACCCAGAAGTATTTATGCGAGGAAAGTTCTACATCAGGGACCTGTTTTTTTTTTTTTTTTTTGAGGGGGGGGGGGGGTATCTTTGTTTTTTTTTTTTTTATGAGGGGAGTGGGGTGATTTTTTTTTTTTTTCTTTGGTACCGGGGATCAAACTCAGGTCCTTGCACTTGCAAGGCAGGCGGCAGAACCACTGAGCCAAATCCCCCCCCAGTTGTGGTTATTTGAAATAGGATCTTGCTGTGTAGTTTAGGCTGGCCTTGAATTTATTATGTACCTCAGGCTGGCCTCAAATTTGCAGTGATCCTCCTGCCTCAGCCTCCTGAGTGCTGGGATTATAGGCATGCACCATCATGCCTGGCACCAGAGATCTGTTTTTAGTTTTGTGTTTTTTTTTTGGTGCCAGGGATTGAACTCAGGATCTTGAACTTGCGAGGCAGGCAGTGGAACCACTGAGTTAAATCCCCAGCCCCACCAGGGATCTGTTTTTAACCATCACATTTTTACATTTGAAATTACTACAGAGCCTGACTTAAAGTCAAAAGTACATAGCAGTTGGCTCATCTGATAAATTGTTAATTTCTAGAGGTTGTGTAAATGGCAGATCTGCCTTTATTTTAGAATGTATTCTTAATTTTGGATTAGAGAGTTTATTACCATAGGCTCAGCTGTGTTGACTAGGTGAGTCTTAGACTCTGAACTCCTAGGCTCAAGTTCTTGTCTTGACTCAGCCTTCTGAGTAGCTGGGGATAACAGATGTGTGCTAATGGGTCCAGCTATAAGCTCAGCTTTAAGGGGCCTCCAGCCCTAGATCTGAAAGGCCATAAGATAAACAGAGCAGTTAGTTTTCATCGCTCTCTGGTTTTTTTCTGTGGTGCTGGTCATTGAACCAAAGGCCTCACACATGTTATAGAACTGTTCTACCATTGACCCACTTTGGGAATGTGACTTTTTTTTGAGACAAAGTTTTGCTATGTAATTTAGGCTGGCCCTGAACTCATTATGTAACCCTGGCTGGCCTCAAACTCACTGATCCTCTTGCCTCAGCCTTCTGAATTCTGGGATTAACAGGTGTGTGCCACTATTCCCAGCTGAATGTGACAATTTTTGTAGAGTATTTAAAACTTCCAAGAATTTTGGGAGAAAGTAATTTTTAGAAATGATAATGACTCTATACACTTACATATCTTAGAGTAGGAAGCAGTGTTTGTGTAAAATTTTCAAACATGTACACATGTAACTGGGCTGGTTTAATCTGTGCTTCTAGATAATGATGTTCTCAGCCAAACCTAGTAAAGTATAAAAGTTTAAATGCTACTAGTTTATTATCCCATGTAATAATTACTGAATTTTATGTATGTATGTATGTATGTATGTATGCATGCATGCATGCATGCATGCATGCTTTGGTACCAGGGATCAAACTACGGACCTTGTGCTTGCGAAACAGGTGGCACAACTACTGAGCTAAATCCCCAGCCCATAATTACTGAATTTTAGACAGTAACTTAAGTAAGCTGCCCTTTAAAAAATTTATTTATTTATTTATTTTTATTTATTTCTTTTTTATTTGAGACAGGGTTTCACTATGTAGTTGAGACTGACCTGGAACTCACTATGTAGCCCAGGCTGGTCTCGAACTCACAGCGATCCTCCTGCCTCAGCCTCCCCAAGTGCTGGGATTACAGGTGTGTGCCACCATGCCCGGCTCAAAATTTATTTTGTTTTGTTTTATTATTTTATTTTATTTTATATTTTGCTACTGGGGATCAAACTCAGGACCTTGCAATTGCAATCAAGGCAGGTGCATTGCCACTGAGCTAAATCCCTGGCCCTTAGTTGCTCTTTAATGGACCGTAATAGGATCGAATTCTGCTGAAAGAGAGAGTGAAGAGATAGCAGGAAACTGAATAAATTTAATTATGAGTTACCAGATTAATAACCATAGGACATTATTCTGAACAACTTCGTGTGGCATCATATTTTTCCTTTGGATTATGTATCTTCATTTTGTTTATATATTTATAATCATAATGTAGAACTCTGTTTTCATAGACTTATAATGATCATGCAAAGTCCTGGTGTTACAGGACTTACAAGGAGGAATAGTTTGATTCGGGAATCAAGCATAATCCCTTTTTCAGAATCAGGACGGGTGGTGGAAAATCTTTGATTTTCTTACACATAGATGATTTCTTACACATAGATGGGGTTTACTTTGTGTGGTAATAGAAATTAAACTCAGGGCCTTAAGCATGCTAGGCAAACATTCTGAGATGCTGGTAGATAGGTTTGTAGAGAAGATTCTGAAATCCTTTGAACTTATAAAAACAAAGTAGTAAGGGCAACACTTTTAAAGTGAGCATTGTATCAAATCATTAGTGGAAATAGAAGATTAAGTGTGACACATTTCTCTTAAGGCTGCTTGCTCCCTGTCTGTTTTTAAGCTAGATTGGCAGACCTAAGATCTGACTTTTAATGTTGTCTTGTTGCCAGTTTGTATGATACATACTAATGTAGGTATTTATTCCGAGTGGTAATGCTATTGCCTTTCTGATTCAGTTTGTAGTAGCACACATTTTATCTGTTAGCAAAGTATACTTGGGTGATGAATCAATGTAATTATAGCTCAGTCATTATTAGCATACTGTGCAAGCATCAGTACTTTAAAAGGCAGAACAGATAATGAAGTAGTATGGCAAAATACTGTAATAATTCAAAACCATAGTACCCTTCACTTAATATTTTTGTCTAAGTGCAACTAATAAATATTGATACAGTTAATTGAGGTTGATCTTAATGTATATGATAATCACATTTTATTTTATTTTATTATATTTTGGTACTGGGGATCGAACTCAGGACCTTGTGCTTGCAAGGCAGGCCTGGTGCCACTGAGCTGAATCCCTGGCTTCCATTGTATTTTAAATTGGAAAATAAGTTTGGATTACTAGTAGCCATTATTTATTTTTCTTTAAAAA